ATCAGGATGTACTATTTAATTTTATGGAATGAGAACTGATGTTCAATTATTTTCCATTGCTCATTTTTATTATTTTTAATTTTAAATTATTTTTATAATAATTTGAATTACAATCATGAATAAGTGCTTCAGAATCCCTGTTAGTGTTTGTAAGAATGCAGAGAATCACCACACACTATAAAGGGCCTGTGGTGGGTTCAGATTTTGTAACCATGGGACGTTACAATGACCAGGTTGTATGTCTCACTGTTCCCACTTCTCGAAATTGTTTGGCCTTGCATTTCTGCAGTGGGGTTTGACAATTTCCTCCTGGTTGGAGATCAGTGAAATCCCTTGCAAAATGATTTTACACTATCTCCCCAGAGGTTTTATGACACCTCCTGTTAAAGTCACACTGGACGCTGGTGAAACCTCAGCTTGGAAATTCAGAGCCTGTATTTCTGTCAGTGCCTTCTGTAATGGAAGGGTGTTGCATGAGACGAAGACAGCAATTAGGGGGTTTTAAAACTCTGAATAATTTCCATTGTGTGAAGAGGAAAAAGACTATTTCCTGTGGTTTGGGAGTTAACGATGAACAGTCACCAGTTTAAAATTCTCATAAAAAATATGAGGAGAGGGTTTAGGAGAAATCTGATTATTTTAAGAGTTATCGGAGCATGGAGTGTTTTGGGGAACAGTTGAAGAAGAGACCATTGCATCTTCTAAAGAAAGTCTGGATAAAAGTTTGAAGTAGAGGTGACTGCAGGGCACTGGGGAAACGTTGGGATTAGTGTCAGAATGCAACAGCGATGAACTGGGACAATGGCCAGAATCGCCATCTTCTGAGGATAAACGGTGTGAGGCATGTGTGATTATTCTAAATTCATCACTGACTTTGACAATTACGTAGCATGTTTGGATAAGGGTGTAAGTGAGACTAAATTAGTGATTGGAGCTCTGCGACAGAATGTAATGCATTGTAAAGTAATAATGTAATGTGTATTAAAGGTTTGCTTGCTTCTTAGCTTGAGGCAGTTTAAGTTCCCACTTATAGTAATAGTTTGTCATCTTTAAATATAGCGCAAAGACACTAATGAGGTCGACAGAGGTTAAAAGAATTCATTCTCAAGAGGCAACCCTGTTATCCCAAGGGAAGAGGAGCACAGCAGTTTGTTTTAGATCCACATGTTTGGGGTAGAGTCAGCAGACTGTTACCCAAGCATTGCTGGATTTCAATTAAATTGATGTAGCTTCCCATGAAAAAGTTGTACTGTTGTCTTATTTTACACATAGCCACAAGCTGCAGTATTCATTTTACCAAGTTGTCATCCACCAGTGTATCACCAAGGGTAATGGGCTCCTCTACCATAAGGTTTTTAACAATCTCTATGCTATATTCTAATAGGACGTCCAGAGTTTAACATCAATGGCAGATGAAAATTGTTTATTAATTCAAGGGGTTCAAGCAACTTGCTTTACTGAAATACACTGCCAGCAGTGAAATATTGATGTGTGAAATGGTTGTGTGTCATTTATGCCAGGGATGTAATGATCTAGTGGCAATATCGCTAGACTAAATAATCCAGAGATCCAGGTTCAAATCCCATCAAGGTGGATCATGGAATTTGAATTCAATTAAAAAAACTGGAATTAAGAGTCTAATGATGACCGTAAAACTGATGGGGTGGGGGGCGAACACATCTGGTTCATTAATGTCCTTTTAAGGATGGACGCTGCTGTCCTTACCGGGTCTGGTCTACATCTGACTCCCATATTGTTGATTGCCTTCTGGGCAATTAGGGATGGGCAATAAATGCTGGTGTTATCAGCAAAGCAACCAATGAATAAAGAAAACACTGTGTACATTTTTAAAACAAGCTTTAGTTTAAATTATTAATTTGCATTTGAGTAAAAACCAAAAAACTGTGGATTCTTTAAATCAGAGATAAAAATAAAAATTGCTGGAAAAGCTCAGCAGGACTGGTAGCATCTGTGAAGAGAAATCAGAGTTAACGTTTTGGGTGCAATGACCCTTCCTCAGAAGTTTTCACCTGGAGGATGGTGGGGTCTATAATGCACTGCCTCGGAAACTTCATAACCTTTAAAATTAATTTGATGAGCACTTGAAGTGTTGTAACATTCAAGACTTTGGGCCTAGTTTAGGAAAATGGGGCTACTGTAGCTGGCATACTTTTGGCCATACAGACTTGAGGTCAGAGGGTCATTTCAGTATTGTACGATTCTATGAAAGGTTTGAGTTGTCTTGTGGTTACGAATATGAGCCAGTCTTTCGTTCTTAAACTATTTCAGATTGAATTGTTTGTCAGCATTTTCTAAATTATAGTTTTTACTGATGACCATTAATGATCAAAATAAAAGCCTATTGCTTCATGTAAATTTGTGGTATAAATACAAATAAGCCTCACCTATCAGTGTGTCTTTAAGTCAAGGTACAAAGGGACCAATAACCCTTTCTATTTTCTTTCCAATTGTGTGTATAAATGCTGTGAGGTTTGTTAATTATCAAACAAACCATTGTTCTCCTAATTAAAAGACTCAAGTACAATAATTCAAAATGACATTTGAATGGACACTGTTTGTTGCTTATCCTCGTCAACGTAGGATTGGTTCCCGGGAAAAATATATCTCAATGTGAGGCTGTAGAAGAGAAATTTAAGAAAGGATAAAATTGCATCAAGAAGTGCAACTAGAAACATACATGGCTTGGTATACATAGTCACACAGACACACAGGGACACACACAAACACACACACATAGAGACAAACACACACACACACATACAGACCCACACACATAAACAGACACACACACATTGACACAGACCCACACAACCACTATTTTGTGGAAAAAATGTAGGGGGCTGAGGGATGGGGTGGCGAGGTTAAGTTTTGTTATTAAATCACAAGATATGCTGGTCAGCAGTGCTACTTTCCCAGGATTGATTGGAAAATGGGTAATTGTAGTCCTGGGCGGAAGCAATGTTAACTCAATAAAGAATCAATTGGGATAACTGTTTCCCCCGAGGATATTGGATCACCCATGATGAGAACGTTCCATCAGAATGATTCCAGTTTTAGTTTACTTGTTGAAATTATAAAGATCACATGGAGAGTCCTGGGTGAACAGAAGCTGCAATTGATAGCTTGTATCTTGATGTCATAGTGTTGTCATTGTACTAGAATTCACAATTATCAGTGACTTATCAAAACAACTGCTTAATAATTCAGTGACTGTTAATGTTCGTGACTAGTGTAATTACATGAAATGTAACAGGTTCAAAACTGCGGATTGCTGCCTTTTTTTTCTTTTTTCCCTTACTTGAAAGTCATAAAGTAGCGAAATACATCTTTCAGTCTGTTCAAAATAAGTCCTTTTTGAGTGTACAAGTTTACAAGTGACTGTTGGTAAACAGTCAATCTGATAGAATAATGTTTAATCTTAATTATATGCAATGAGGTGCATGTTCCAACCAGGAAACCTGAAGTCAGCCTGCGATTATGTCATGAATCTCATTTAACATTATTTGGACAAGCCCCCCAGGGCACTCCACCCATTTTAAGACAGTCCAGATATTGCAGAGTTGAGGAAGTAAGCCAACTTGCTTTTGGATTCAAAGTGTTAATTTGTTTTTAAATGGGATATCCTTTTGTATTTGTTGAGAACATTGTGGAGCAGAGCACAGCCCATGCCCAGTTTGGACTAAAGCATACACTCACCTACATACTTGAGAGAGCCCATGCCTGCTTTAAGCAGCTTCCTACCCCTATTGTAAATGGCTGGATGCAATGGTGAGGTGGACATCCTGAAGGCATTCTTTATATTCCAGTTGTCTCCTTGAAATTGTCCCTCATTACAGTGGTAAAGGATGAACCATTGAAGAATCTTAACAAGAAGAGGCACTTGCCTTTTCACAATGTAGTTTGTTGCTTCATAGCAATAGCTGCAAGTTACATTGACTAGTTAGACAAAATACTAAAGGCTATCAGGAGACATCAATGACAGAGTCATACAGCACAGAAACAGACCCTTCAATCCAACCAGTCCATGCCAAAAATAATCCCAAACTAAACTAGTCCCAGTTTGTGACACAAACGTCCCCATCAGGATCTTGAACTAGTCTCCCCTTTTCCCCTCCTAAGATGGTATGGCACCATTAGATTGGGTGAACATTAAGGTTTCCAACATTAACCCTTTTGGAACCATTACCTTATACAATACAAGATTTGCTTCATAGAATTGATAAGGCATATTTTTGGCTGTCTCATTGGAGGCATTCAGAGGATGTCAGCATCACTGGCAATGCCAGCATTTATTGTCCATGGAAAGAAATTATTCGGTTATTTTCACAATGCTGTTTCTGGGAGCTTGCTGTGTGCAAATTGGCTGCCTTGCTTCTTATATCACAGCTTTATACGTACCTTCAAAAATACCTCACTGGCTGTTAGGTGCTTTGGGGCATCCAAAGGACATTGAGTGAGGGCTGTCATTGTTTTGCTAAGCAATCTAATTCAGCAGTTGAAATGAGTCAAAACCTATTTCCATTTAGGTATGATATTTAAAAGTCAGGAAATAGTTTCCAGCACAGAATCTGTTCAGATGTGCCAGAAGTAATTGTAAATCAAAAATTACATGCATGTCTGTCAGTGCTCTCAGCCACACCTATGGCCCCACCTATCACAACATTTTTTATATATGTTATGTGCCAGATTTTCACTTTCTACAAAGGCAAGTGTCTGCTTTAGTTGTGGTGTCTGGGTGCAGACAGAGAAAGTCTGCCCAAGTCAACCCAGTAGCTACTGTTCACATTTAAACAAATGTTATTTTATCTTCATCATGCCATGCATAATGTGCAAAAGGTGGAGCGGCACCTGTTGACTTTTTTTTAACCTGGAAGGGGATGAAAAAGACTTTTGCCTCAATATTGTTGTGTTTATCTGCAGTGTGTTTATGTAAATACAAATTTCTCAAGCAAGTGATTTGTCTTTTGTTTGCCTTTCAGACTTTTTCAAGAGAAAGAACAAAGGCCTTGCTGGCTTTAACTGACGAGAACTCGCTAATCAACCCCTTCCTTTTTAGTTCAGCAAATGTCAATGAAGTGAATAAGTGTCCTACTCCCAGCTGGCAAGTTGCAGTTACTGAGAGACCTGTGTGGATTCCTACAGCTACTTCACTGTGGCTGTACTTTAGCCTGGAGTATGTACAAAAGTGCATCCCATGGGGTTGTGTCCCAAATCCATTAACTAAGCAAGTGTCAGCATCTCCACGGGTCTCAGCACAGGATGCTATGGAACTATCGGGAAACCATGATTTATAATCTGAGAAATTCACTGTCAATCTAGGCAAAGGTTCAGAGAGTCAAGTTCCCCAACGTGATGGACGATTCCTTTATTTCTCACGAAAGCATAGGCAGCTCAATCTGACTGGGAGCACATAGTCCTCAGTGTTAAGTAACCTGAGGCTGAGGATTGCTACCTTCTCCCAGTGCAATCCTCAATCGACTCCCTCGTTTATTTTCTCAATTTCTTAATTAGCGCCAGTCCCACAAAACTAAAACAACAAACAACCTGCGAGAAATTTGATTTTCGCTCCAAGTAGCACACGCAATACTGAGAGCCTGAAATGAGGAGAAACAGTCCAGTTTCTCTGATGCTGATGGCTAAATTTGAAAGGTTAAGAAAATCGTTTGAATGAAAGCGCAAGGAGCAACAGGAGAAAAAAAAATTGAAAAATACGAATAACTTTTGATTGCTTCCGGATCAAAGACAGCAACAAGAAACCCGAAGTGCCTTGTATATCACGGTTACAGAAGTTGTGAGATTGTGTAAACAAATGACCAAACACAGCATGAAAGTATATTATGGGAATCGTACCCTCGGTATCGCCACATCTCATGGAAAGATATGATTGTGTTCACACAACTTCAATTAATCTCCTTCTAGACTGTCAATAGTAGAAATGAGGCCAAAACATAATGTTGTGCCAGGAGACACAGTAGGGAAAAGGAACTTGGGTGGGATTTCCAGTCTGAAAAGCGATTCAATACTACGTGAGTCAATTTGCAGCGTTCGCCTGTTAAACAGATTGTGCTTGGGATTAACAATGAAATAAATTTTAGACCGTGTTGCAATTGTGTTATCTCGTTTAGAAGCAAAGTGTGCTTTTATTTATGTTTGCGGCTCTGAAGCAGTTGTTTAAGCAAAGTTAAGAAATCTTTATAAATGTCAGTTTGAGAATGTAGTGCCTGAGGACCGGCTCCAGAACATTGCTACATAAATTCTTATGCAAGCAACGTGCACCCACTTGACTTACGCTAGGCTTGTTATAGGCTGTATAATTTATGCTCGGGTTTTACAGTTCTTGTTTGCATTGTATTTTGTTCGCATAATGTTCACAATATTAGCTGCAACAGCAGTTTGAATTAACAGGAAACATATTTTCAGAGCAGAGTATTTAAATAATCGATTGAGGCCTTTGAGATTATTTTAAAAATAAAATCTTTGATAGCATAGAAGATGTTTCCACTTGCTGGAGAGGCCAAAACCAGGGATTGTATATATATGTATATATAGAAGACAGTCGCTAATAAATCCAATCGAGAGCAGATTCTTTAGCCAGAGTGCAATGAGAATGTGGAACTCATTACCAGGCAGCGTAGTTGAGGCGAATACCATGCGTGCATTTAAGAAGCTGGATAAATAGAAACGGGAGATAACAAGGCTGAGGGGTTAATAATCAAGGGGTGTAACTTTAAAGTAGGAGGTGGAAGGACTGTGGGCATTTAGGAGAAATATTTTCACTCAGAAACACGATAGAGCACTCCTTTTGGTGTGCTTTAAGTGTAAGGGGCTAACTATAGCTACTGAGCACGTGTGTTAGCAGTTATGTTGTAAGTAAAGTCAGATCCCATAGAAGTGGAAATGAAGTCTGTCAGGTTCCAGAGAAGCCTTATTTTACTATCTCTGATGTACATTAATGTTTAATAAAGGACTCGGGGTTATTGGAATGAGTGTGGACTGCCTTCAATCAATAGTGAGGAAAGTTGCTTTATTTTCCTAGGGCTGTTCTCTCATTAGAGAGGGACAGCTGGTGGTGGTTTAACCTAAGGATTACCAGGTATCAGATGAGGGGAAAAGGACGGACTTTCATGGTAACCTCAGCTGATGCAGGACTATGAACCTGCACCCTTGGCATCACTTTTCATCTCAAATCAGTTGTCCAGTCAACTGAGCTAACCGACAATAACTCTGACTTGATATTATAACACAAGGAAGACTTGTTCTCCCTGAACCTCCCTGGAGAGGTCCCACTGTAGCTGGTGTAAGGAAGGTCTCAAGACTCTGTCAGGTACTGCACAGCCTTACAGACTTGCTCTGTGACCCACAGCATGTAGAAAGGGGAGGGAAAGAGGTCATGCCATTCTTCAGTACTTCACTGGATGGATCCAATCCCTGCATAACCGACTGACCCTGCTCCAACCACAGGGCTCCTCAATTTCAGAAGCCATCAGGCATTGGCCTCCTGATCCAGGTTCCAGCCAATCGACAACACGGTTAGTGCTGGTTGAGTGCTGTAGTTACATAAACTAGCACCAGGGGGCACAATATGGGGAGGTAATGGCTTAGTGGTATTATTGCTGGACTATTAATCTGGAGACCCAGATAATATTCTAGGGACCCAATTCGGATCCTGCCGTGGCAAATGGTGGAATTTGAATTCAATAAAATATCTGGATTTAAGAATCTAATGATGATTGTGAATCCATTGCCAATTGTCTGAAAAATCCATCTGGTTCACTAATGTCCTTTAGGGAAGGAAACTGCCATCTTTACCTGCTCTGGCCTACATGTGACTCCAGACCCACAGCAATGTGGTTGACTCTTAACTGCCCTCTGGGCAATTAGGGATGGATAATAAGTGCTGCCTGACAAGCAACACTCTCATCCTGTGAATGAATAAAGGATGAGGATTAGGACCACACCATTCAGGAGAAATTTTAGGAAGCACTTCTACACACAAAGGGGTTTGGGACTCTCTTCCACAAATTACAGTGGATACTGGATCAGTCATTAATTTTAAATCTAAGATAGATACATTTTTGTTAACTAAAGGTATTACGAGATATGGGTCAAAGGCGTTTATATGGACTTAGATCACAGATCAGCCACAATCTCATTGAATGGTGGAACAGGCTCGAGGGGCTGAATGGCCTACTCCTGATCCAAGCTCTTATAGAAAATAGGAGCAAGAATAGTCCATTTGGCCCCTTGAGCCTGCTCTGCCATTCATTGTGATCATGCGTGTTCATTCTACTCAATAGTCTGTTCCCACATTTCCTCTGTATTCTTTCATCTCTCTAGCCCCAAGTGCTACATCCAACTATTTCTTGAAATCATACATTGTTTTGGCCTCAACTTCTTCCTGAGGTAGCGAATTTCACCACACTCCAGGTGAAGAAATCTCTTATATTATTGTGTATGAAGCATGGATTCCAACCCAGACAAGATGGGCTGAATGGCCTGTCTTTTTCACTGCAAATCCTTGCAATTGTATAACATTCCCTGTTTGGTTGGGAAGTCAATCGATAACTATATGTCTCTGTTTTATCTGCTTGATTTGCCATCCGAGTTGCTGGTTTTCACAACCTTTCCTCTGAAAACCCACATCCCTCTTTTCTACCTGATTTTCTCAAGTACATTATTAAACCTGGCATTCTCACTTCCTAAGTAATCTCGTGATCTGTGCTCACAAGCCTGTAAGTAGGTTAATTATCTGCGGAGGTGTTATCTGAGTATGGATTACATGAGGCAGTTTAAAGGTTTCTCCAGGAACTAGGTTCACTCAGATAGAGCAAGTAAACAGATTCCTAATTACAAATCAATGAGTAGCTTTTTCTGCACTGATGCCTACCAACTCCTGAGCTGACAACGTTCGAACCACCTGTTCATAACAATGTCCCTTTTCAGCAGATTATCACCATTTTCAGAAATGTGCTTATCGCCTCTTCTGATAAACACTGGGGGAATCTTTTTGACTTGTATCTAAATCAGGCAGGAGGGGTATGGAGGGGAACGGGGAATTTCATGATAACAGCCTAATGGTATCAGTGTGAATTCCAGCATATCTTTTATTCATTTGTGGGATGTGGGTGTCATGGGCTAGGTCAGCATTTATTGCCCATCCCTAATGGGCAAGATTTAGGAATAGATGAAGGCCTTTTGGCCCATTGAGTCTGTTCTTCCATTTAATGAAATCATGGCTGATCTGATAATCCTCAACTCTACTTTTGTGCCTTATCTCCATAGCTCTTAAATTTCTTACTGATTAAAAAATCATCTATCTTTGCCTTGAATATACTTAATGGCCCAATCTCTACAGACCTCTGCAGTAAAGAATTCTACAGATTCACCAGCCTCTGTGAGAAGAAATTCCTCCTCATCTCTGTTTTAAATGTCTTACTCTGAGATTTTGCCCTCTGGTCCCAATTACCTTAAAGAATCTGATAGGTTTCAATAAGGCCACCTCTCATTCTCCTAAGAGATAGTAGGAACAGCAGATGCTGGAGAATCTGAGATAACAAGGTGTAGAGCTGGATGAACGCAGCAGGCCTAGACCCTTCTTCAGAAGAAGGGTCTAGGCCTGAAACGTCAGCCTTCCTGCTCCTCTGATGCTGCTTGGCCTGCTGTGTTCATCCAGCTCTACACCTTGTTATCTCTCATTCTCCTAAACTTACTTTTCTTTTCTATATGTTAGAGATTATGGGTTGGGAAAGTGCTGTCATACAGTCATAGAGTCATACAGCGTGGAAACAGACCCTTCGGTCCAACCAGTCCATGCCGAGCATAATCCCAAACTAAACTAGTCCCACCTGCCTGCTCCTGGCCCATATCCCTCCAAACCTTTCCTATTCATGTACTTATCCAAATGTCTTTTGAATGTTGTAACTTTACCCACATCCACCACTTCCTCAGGAAGTTCATTTGACATGCGAACCATTGTGTAAAAAATTTGCCACTCAAGTCTTTAAAAAACTTTCTTCTCTCACCATAAAAATGTGCCCCCTAGTCTTGAAATCCCTCATTCTAGGGAAAAGACAACTACTATTAACCATATCTATAGTCCTCATGATCTTATAGACTTCTGTAAGGTTGCTTCTCAACCTCCTATGCTCCAGTTGAAGGCGCCTCGGTGAGTTGTTGTAATGCATCTTGTAGATGGTCCACATTACTGTCACTCTGTGTGAGGAGTGCAGGGGGTTGAACGCTTAGGCCAGTGGATGGAGTTCCATCCATGAAGAACAGTAAGGTACCAGATCAAAAGCTAATTAACAGCAGACTGATGGTGAGGCAACCGTGGACAGAAACATGGATAGGGCCGGCAAAATATCTACACATATTCTGGCCTTTGAAAAAGCTTTTTTCTCATTAATCTCTATACAGCAGGTCCAGCTGCTATTGCATTTAGTGGACCATGGATTAGAATTAGCATAGTATTGGTACCTGGTTCACATGATGAAAGTAAGCTTCCACACGTTCCCAACCTCAATAACGACAGGGCTAGTGAACAGTAACAAAGTAAATGGGAACATTGGTCACTTGCAGAGCAAACGACAGACTTGGGGCATTGACGGTGGATGGAAACACAATGTAAAAAATACATCAGGCCTAAAGGAAGTTGCATGTATTGAATGCAGAGCTTTTGAAACTGTGCCAATGTCCCAATAATAAAATCAATTACTCTGTGGCTTATGATCTCATGAGCAATCTTTGATTACATTATTGCTTTGTAAATCGATACACAATTAGGTTTACCACTATGCAAGTTAAAAAATGCTTTCTTTAAAAAATGTGGAGTTAATGATGTCTTTGGGAGTTAAACAAGACACATGTAGCAACAGGAAATATGTTATCGGAGGATAATTTGTGGTTTCTCAATCAACAAAGGAAATATAAATAATACATTTTTGCCCTTCTATTTTCTCCCTTTCTTTTCCTAAATCTTACACCCTTGGAACTAAACGCCTCTCAATACATTGCTCAGAGGACCATAATGTCACAGGTTTTCAAGTCATGTTTTAGCATTCATCCATTGGATGTGAGCATTTCTGGCTCGGCTAAT